AATGGGCGAGCCAGAAGAATTTTATATCGTAGATAAAATGTTATGAACGTCTATAAGGCTAAACCTGCCGCGTGTCGGTGTAATAATTAGCAGTGTTTGTTACTGTGACGGTTCAAAACACTGGCATGTTACGTAAATATCAAAGATCAAGATGTGGAAATCAAGAAAAGCTAGCTCTGGGATTAGTAAGGGAACACTCGCACGTAGGCTTTGTATATAATCCTAACTTCATGATGACTTTATCTTACAGGTTAAAGGTTACGACTCCCGGAGCATTGAATATAAGCTTTACTAACTTCATACAACTAAAGTTGATTTTGACGATTTTTTGCTCCGTGCGGTCTGGTAGAAGTTGTCGACGTTTCAGAGGTGCTTGCTGCCTCCATCATGAACGCATCGACCTTGTGATGGAGGCAGAAAGCTACCCAGAATAAAGCCGTCTTCATTGTCGCCACCGTCAGAGCATCAAATGTCACAAAGTCAATTTTGGCGCAGGATATAAAAATGTAAACACGCGCGTAGGGATACTTTAATTTAAAATGATTCCGCTCTGAAGTTTCGTAAAAGTTCGTGCATGCTACTTTATAATAATCGACAACATAGCACTAGGACCATCGCGACGCTGGATGCGCAGTGGCCTAATCGATATAGCTGAGCCAAGCAGGACGCTGTGTCCCTGTAATGCCGGCAACCAGCCTTGCTTGGTCTCCTGTTGCTACCGTATCTGACTGCTCCTTATCCGGACATTGGCTCCCTCACTTTATCTACCAGCCACGCACAGACAGGAAAAATTCCCTTCGATCATGCCCTTCAATTCTGGAATCTCGAATTGAAGGGCATGATCGATACATGGACTGTGGAAGAAAGGAATGGAAATTTGAGTTGGGAGCAGAAAATAAAGCATTTCATCGTGGACCCTTATTTTCCATATTAAGACGGCTTCAGAAATTCTTTCCTTGCAAAAATTATCACAGATTTGTGTTTTGTTTGCGGTGTCTATAAATAGGAAGTGTAAATTCTGGTATTTCTGTTTTACACCTGAGAAGACCGAGGCAAATCACTAAAATCCACTCTCAGCATAGTGATCGTATGTTTTATGATTATTGACGATTAAAAGTAATTATGTGTGTATATTTTTGAAACACTGTCTCATTCTTTAATTTGACTGAGATTTTTTCTTCTGGACAGCTTCATTTACGAAGATTTCTGTCTTCTGGGTTGTTGCGCTGTGTAGTCTAGTCGATGTTTACCAACGTTTCGGAGGTCATACTGCCTCCGTCATCAGGACGATTCATCGACCAGACTACACAGCGCAACAACCCAGAAGACAGAAATCTTCATACTCATCGCCCTGATGACGGAGGCAGTATGACCTCTGAAACGTTGGTGAACATCGACCAGACTACACAGCGCAACAACCCAGAAGACAGAAATCTTCATACTCACCGCTGTGAAAACCTCAAATCTTACAGCTTTATTTACATTTACAAACTTAAAATAAAACGTCTAGAACGACATACCATCAACTACTAAGATTAAACAGCATCAAGTGTTGATAATTGTTGAAAACATGGATATTTCTCTTCTGATTCGGTGATTAGGCATTATGATCAGTTAAATCTCAGGGTTTTTCAAAACGAATTAGAGGCTTGCAGTTGGCGAGATTTAATAAACTAAAGCAGTTACAACAGTGTAGCTGCTTGACAAATACGCATGCCGCAAGTTTTTTATCTTCAGATAACGCTCGCGATAAGGCAGACTTACAGAACCAGAACAAGCCGGGATGAGCGGTGTGCCTTGGATAAATATGACCTTCAAGAAACTGCTCTCGGACAGTGATTTAGCGGAGTGTTGCAATTGAACTGCATGATCTCTGCAGAATTTCCTGTTAAACTTATTTGCATGCGACATAAAACAACCGGTAAAAAAGTACAATAAATTTAACAATCACGAAGGAAGTCGTAATTCAACTGGCGAAATTACTCCAAAGTTGGGAAACTCAAGATAGAAGGCCACATATTCGTAAGGCCAAGTCGGCGATATCTTTTTTTCAAAGTTTTGTTTGAGTTTTCGTGGGATGTTGCTAGTAAACAGTAATCGTGATTGAGAAGTTGCATCCTTGAGGACCATACTTTCTGCAGACGATCCTGAGTTTGATTAATCCCAGCCCAGTTCTAGTGTGTGTGTGTGTGTGTGTGTGTCAGTGGAAGAATGTATGTGGCCTTGTCAAATCTTCATTTGAGCACCGGACCTTATACGCGCGGTCGCAAGCTCAAGAGGTCTGAGTACAACCAGTAGCATCATGGTACTGGAACACCTTAAGATATCCATTTAGGTTGAAACACTTTATGTATAACCCACACATTAACGATAATGTAATAATAACGTTGATGTTTTACTAATACATTTTTGTGTTTGACCGAATTAGTTATGTACCACGACAGGATGCCATCTTAATGTCTTCTGGAATGTTCCTTCATGTAGTCTGGATCATCGTTTTAATAATGGAGACAGTAAGCACCTCGGAAGCGTCTGTAAATTTCAACGAGGCTATACGGCGCAATATCCCAGAAGATAATCATATTTGTACTTGACGCCGTGATAATCAGAAGTCTCGCAATCCTCCTCATAGTCTGTACACAGTGCTGAGAGGTGCACGCTCGCAGAAGAAGCAAACACTTGCCTCTTGTCACCTCTTGTACCCTCGTTCGTCTTAGTCGCCACATCCTCTTGAGGAGGCATATTGTTGACGCGGCTCATTCTTGGGTTCAAGTGTCACATCGCTTCTGATGCTGCGTGGGCTCCCCATAAGGCGACAAAGTGAATGGACACGAGCAATTCAGTCACGTGGATCAACTCGCTTAGTTCAGTCTGGTACCCGTTTGAAAGCAGGTCAGACAGAGAAAGTTATTTTGGATGCCTGATTTTTCTCATCCGACGAGGCGAACGTTGAGGTAGATATGTTGAAATAGGTCATGGGCACTTCTCCCCCACGTTTCATGGTCTGTAACATATTGGTGTCATTTTCAGGCGCGTTTGCAGTTGGACTAAGAATCAAAAATGTAAATTGCCTGACTTATTTAACACATTACTGTTATTTATTTAATTTCAGCATTTTGTGGAAGTCATATTATTTTCACCGAAAATGCAATGGCAGGGGTTTCCAAACCTTGGGTGGCGTTGCGAAAGCCAGAACATAAAAATAATGTTTAAAATACTGTTATTTTAATCAAGTAAATGTTGCCGACGAATTTTTTACTTAATTATTGTAATTGTAAATGTATCTTTATTCATACAGCAATGAATATAATATGTACTAGTATATTTACAAAAAAAATTGTTTAAATTTGACCCTAATTGACAAACTTTGAGTCGTCAGACAAGAATTTTAAAGTGCTGGGTCACGTTGCTATGTTAGCGAGAAGTCCAACTCAGCAGTTTATTGTAGGTGTTTGATTGTTTAGGTTCTGTATTGCTTCACACCTTGATTGCTTACTCGTGAAATTAATTACTTCTCCATGACGTGCTACTGTGTGGCTCCTTGAAGTTCGTATTCAGTTTTGTTACAGAGAACACCAGTTATGAGCATGGAACATGTATATGCAATTCTCACTTTATGTTAGCAAAATATTTTCGTACAAATTTATGTGTTAGAAAATTTATTTATGAACTTGTGTTTGTGGTGTGGTCTATTAAAACACATCGTGGAGAGATTGCGGGGAAAAAGATCAGAGTTAGTCGAGGATCGTTCTCGAGATATAGTCTACTGATCTGCTAAGATCGAGTTAAATGTTCTGTTACCGAATTAAAACAGTGCATGTAGGACTAATACTAAACTGTTCGTATAGTCTACCAATCCTTTGCAAACACATTGTTCGAAGATGATTGTCTTCTGGGATGTTGCACCGTCTGGTGTCGTATAAATTGACCGACGTTTCGGAGGCTCTTACCGCCTCCATCTTCAGGATGATCGGTCAGTTTCTATGAGACACTGAAATCTCAGATTATGTTTACAGTTTAGGTATGAAATTAATTCGTGCCTCTCTTTCTCTGTCTTCGTTCTGTGAGTGTTTCAGCTGTCTGCTACAGTGAGATGTTCTTGACTGTTCAAGTGCATTCTCTTTGTCCAGCTGTTTATAAGTGAAAGTGATGTAATCCTCACTGTAAATGTTATGTATTGTAGAGTTCATTAATTCTTCTCATTTCAAGATCTTAACAAAAGAAGTCATCTAGGACTATAAATAGTTAATACAGCAGACAGATCAATCGATAAAATGTAGACTTACGATTTTCGTGTTGTCACGTCTATTCATTTTATCACAAATTGAACGCATCATGGAGAGGATGACCGTACATATGTTTCATTTTCCGAAACCACTGACTGAATTAAGTTTAAATCTGGCGTCAGAAATTTGCATACACACAGAAGAAGGCAAATCACTTCTGTATCACCTGCCTAAAAACATATATGAAACAGGTCCCAGTCCGAGAAAAGGATGGAAGGATCCTGTTCATAATATGTCGCCAACTTCCTGTAATAAAGAAGAACCTCGGACAAACTATCGCCAGTATCCGATGTAAATGAGACTGAATGAGTCCTAATAATAAATTTTGCCAACCAGTTTTGGTAGTTGATAGAGCAGAATTGATTAATAATCAGTCACAATCCTATAAATGAAATGATGTAGTCTGACACAGTCCAGTTGAATAATGTGCATCAGTAAGATGAACTTTCCTAGCCAAAAAATAACTTTTGATAAGGAAAGTGGTGCTTGTGGTTCTCCACTGTGTTTATTTTTGATGGATCCCCAGTGATTAATTGAACTAATTCCAGAATCCTCCTCCTTTCCTTGTAAATGAATGGGATATAGCTTCTGGTCTGTACTGACGATGTTAATTTACTTAGTGGAAATTAGTTTAGAAGTGAATACGGAGGAGACTAAGGATGTGTTTTTTCTCATCATTAAACTGATGGACAAAATGTTTCTGTTTGATTTTAGTGCATGAAGTCCTATGTTGAGTTTGAAATCCAAGAAGGAGCATATGACATATCCTGCCCTGATGCCCAGTGTGAAAAACAAGGAGTGATCTCATTATCGGAAATCGAAATTCTAGTCACCAAGGAGTTACTTGAGAAGCATAACAAATTCCGTCTAAATAGAGGTGAGTGCCGAAGAATGAAGAAATTGCTCTGTTATGAATAAATGTCCTTATTGTTCCATCTGTCCTTCATCTGCACTAAAATGCTGTCATATGTGTGTAGTCATGTAAATCACCGTTTACTGTGTTGTGATGCCATGTATTCTTGTAGGTGGTTACCGATGACAAATGTATTGCCTGTGTTGACTGCTCTCAGAATTCCACATGAAATCAGAAAACTCGTCCAGTTTATTTTGCAGACTTTTAGTGCCTGAGATAGCTGCTGGAACTTCTGTCCCTTTTAAGATACGCAAATTACTGTTGGGAATGGAACTTCATTTTATTCTTATTTATACATAAAGTAAAGTAAAGTTTGTCCCGCTGTGTGTCGTATAGGCGCTTGGGGTGAGTGGAGGTATAGCTCCTCTCTTTCTTGACCTCGGCACTAGATGGGGGTGAGTGGTCAGCATCACCCCCAGGAAAGGACCCCGGTACCCATTGTAGAGGAGGCCAGGTGGGCCCCAGAGCCGGTCTGGAGGCAGAGGCTAGAGGAAAAATCCTCTGCCCCAGTCGGGGTTCGAACCCCTAGTCGTCCAGCCCGTAGCTAGTCACTATACTGACTGAGCTATCCCTGCTCTTTCTTATTTATACATGGTCACTGTAAAATAGGAGCCAGCATAATGTGCATTAACTCTGGATAACAAGTTTGTAAATATGTCTTCAGCAGTGAATAATTCTTGTGGGTTGTAACACATGGCAGTTTTTACACGGAAAATTAAAACTGAAGTACTTAAAACCACCAAAATACATCTACTAAGTAGTTGATTTTAATAAAAATGAAACAAAAAATGTTGGAATAATGAACGTTTGAAGTGACGCAATGTTTGCCATTAGAAATTTCTTTTAATGTATGATGAAGTAGCTGACGAGTCAAGTGTCTGGAATGACTAAATCATTGTGTGATGTTTGAAGAGGAAATAAGAAGAAGAAAAAGAAAACAATTCTGCAGGTGTGTAAACTGTACCAGAATTCACAGAATTTCCTCATGTGTTTGCAAATTTCAAATTCTAAATGTACCTGGAGTATCAGATGGTGATTTTTTCATGGAAAATGTAGTCTAAATCAGGACATATCTTATAGTTTGCATTTTCCTACAATTTTCATCAGAAATATGGATATATCTTACATAATGTGCATCTTATGTTTCTGAAAATATGATCCATCAAATTATAAATGGAAAATGTCACTAGAAAAATCAGTTTAATTATGAGTTTCTTAATCACTATGAGAGTTCTGATATTTTTGTGTGAAGATGACTGTCTTCTGGAATGTTGCATCACTGAAACACCAGTCACTTTCTACCAAACTGCATGGTGCAACATTCAAGAAGACAGTCGTCTTCGTACATGAAATCTCACCTTGTTTTTCTTTGTTTGTACAGAAGTGGACATTGATGTGAACAGGACATGGTGCCCGCGCGCAGGATGCGAAACTGTATGCAATGTTTGTGGACCTGTAGAGCGCTGTCTTCCCCGAAGTGTCCACTGCCCAACCTGTTCATCAGACTTTTGTTCCAATTGCAAGAACCCTTGGCACTTGGGATTTTCTTGCGAGGAGAACACAAGACGCCTGGCCAAGGAGGGACACACAGATCTCATGGAATCGGGCATTCCTTTTGATTCTGATCTCATCAAGTGTTGTCCCATGTGCAATGTTCCTATAGAGAAGGATGACGGTTGTGCTCAAATGATGTGCAAGCGTTGCAAGCATGTCTTCTGCTGGTACTGCTTGGCATCGTTAGATGTAAGTCCAGTGTAATTTAAAATAGCTTCCTTTAAAATGGGTGCAGAGCAACACAGCCAATTTTTAGTTTGTGTTTTATTCAAGAGAGACGATTTATCAAGGGTGAAGGAGGTGAAAATGAAGTTTATGTGCTGTGTTAGACACTTTTGTGGTTGTAAATACTGATGTATCCAGTATGAGAATTTGAAAAGAAAATATAATAGATAACTATTCCTCCCAGCTACTAGCTGGGATAAGTGATTGATCCTCTTACTTCAGGGTTTAAGTAATTAGTCTGGTCTTACTCAATATCAACAACAGTTATGAAGAACTGGGTATGGAAAATACTACATATCTCTAGTTTACTCGCCCTCGGTGGACTAGTGGTTAGCGTGCTTGCCACTGGACCCAAAGTTCACGGGTTCAAACCCGGCCAAAGTCAATGGATTTTTAAGGGTGATAAAAATTCGTAGCCGGTGGTCCCATGTCGTAGATTTCTTCTTCTTCTATGGCTCTCTGCTCCATATTTGGTCCATGGCCTCCTCAATTCTCCTCTTCAATGTCTGAGGCTTTGATTGAGGTTTTGAAACAGCTTCCTTTTTACAGTGCAAGATTGTTAGCCTTGCGACCAACCCCCAACCTGAAGGACCAGGGTACCTGTCTTAGTCTGACCTCTCCCCCTCGACCAATCTGGCTAAGGAGGCCCTACCAGTAGCTATGCTACCACCAGCATAGTTCTTGTGTCATAGATTTAGAGCATGCAAAATAACCTTACGAGCATGAACGAGATATTTCGTAAGCAAAATTGAGCCATTTGTCACCCATGTCTGTCCTGATTCTCTAATAGATGGCAGACAAATCAGGATTGAGTAGAAATTGTGCAGAGTCAGTGGGGTGGTCACTCACTACTCACAGATGCACACTTCAAAGACTAGGAAACCCCCCACATGGGAGGAGCCAAGGCCCAAACTCGGGCTGTAGTGCTATTGGATGGATGGATCCCTAGTTTACTGTATGAGGAGTGGCAAAGATTTCATGAACAATATAAGAAGATAAGTGTCACACTGATTAAATGATAATTATTCTTTTCTGTTTATATTTCAGGATGACTTCCTGCTTAGACATTATGACAAAGGTCCATGTAAGAACAAACTTGGTCATTCTCGAGCATCAGTCATCTGGCATCGGACGCAAGTGATCGGGATCTTTGCTGGCTTTGGAATCCTGTTGCTGGTGGCATCGCCGCTACTTCTGCTAGCAGCACCATGTATTGTTTGCTGCAAGTGCCGCGTCTGTAGCGGAAGTAGCAAGCTGGATACAGAGGATGAAATGCAAGAAGAATCAGCATCTTGAAGTGAAATTTGTTGTTAACTTTACAGTTTTAACATTATTGAGCCTTTTTCAATTTATTAAATATTCCTTCTGTGACAGTTTGACGAACTATTACACTTAATGTAGACTTATATATTTGTAATATTATATGAATATAAATACAAAGAGAAACAAAATGGCACATGTAAAATTCAATGACTTTGTGGCCAAATAGGGTGATTGCAGTGATTGTATTTGAAACAAAGAAGACTAAGTCAAATTAGGTGTCTTTTATTTAAGAAAGAATAGAAGACAATACAAAAAGTGTTCTATTAATATTCATAGTTAAGAATCTATAATGTGCACTGAAAGTATGGATTTATTATGGAGTGGTTATCCATGCCATGTTTGTGTTAGTAAAGAAGACCTGAGAATAATATTTAAATTCAGTTGATTACAGTATTTAACAAGAAGAGATCTGACTGTGAAGTTAAATGATTTGGATATTGTCAAATTATCCTGTATACATTTATTAGTTACTTGAGTTTCATTATTGCAACGATAAAGCAATGCAAATAATGAGTCAATTTATGTTTGCTGTATTTGGAGGGAATATCTTGTGTTCAGTTAATTTAACGTTCAGAGTAGCTTGTGAACAACCGCTGATGAGTAGAACTGAAAGACTGTTGATCCAGTTTAACTACAAAAGGAAGAAGCATAATGCTTGTGCAAGTAGTGTTCAGCATCGTGTTACTGTATGAGATTAGAGATTATTTCAGCAGTGAAGATGCCAGATGCAGTCTTTTGAGTTGTGATGATCTGTAGTCTTGTAGATGGTTCAGTGAGGTACTAAAATTTCCAACAGGGGTAAGAGAAACCTCATATGTTGTTCCATGTTTGATAATCTGATGTACAGTGTGTCCACAAAGTCTTTTCGGGGTTTTGAAAAATTGTGGCGCGTAAAAAAATTGAGCTAGCCACATGCGGTTTGCGGCAGATTACAGTGAAACCCTGGAAGTTTTTTACTGGCCTCAGTAGAACTCGATGTGGGCTCCCTTGGTAACACGGAGAACGTCCAGACATGTTGCCATGTTCTGTGTCCGCTGGAATAGCTGATATCGCATTCCTGATACTGGTCTTCAGGTCATCAAGTCCATTAACTGGTGTTTGGAACACATTGCTCTTGACATAACCCCACAGGAAAAAACCAGTGGTGTTATGTCTGGTGAATGTGGAGGCCAAGGCATTGGACCGTCTCTGCCGATCCATCTTCCTGGAAATGTCCTGTCTAGGTACGCGCATACCTGCAGACCCCAATGAGGTGGAGCACCATCTTCCAGAGTTTCACTGTAATCTGCCGCAAACCGCATGTGGCTAGCTGAATTTGTTTGCGCGCCACAATTTTTCAAAACCCCAAAGGGACTTTGTGGACACACTGTATTTAAGATCCTATAACTTGTTATGTAGTTTTCTTTATGGATGAGCTTCCTATACCATAAATGATTTAAGTAGTTATTACCACTGCTAGCATTTCAGTCTAGAAGTCTTTGGACAGGTGTGAATCATAGGTAGTACATTCATATTTTGTCTGTTGTTACTTGATCCTACATCGATATTGCACTATAAATTGTTACTGCGTTATGAACCATCCATGAAATTTCTACTGGTCACATGTACTACATCTCCAAGAAAATATCTTATCACTGTGCTGCTGTTGAATACAATCCTGAGTGGGTATTAAGTCATACTTGTATTCTGTAGTACATTTACATGTTAAATGAACGTCATTTGAATATCATGTTCTGTGCATGAACCCAGGAAGTTTTAATGATTAGAAGCTCTTGTCATGTAGAGTTCTGTGTTATAAATCACATTCAGTGAACTTGCAACATTGAATTGTTATGTTACAAAAAACATATGTAACACCTAACTGCCCAATAGCACGGGATAATTCTGATCCTCCTCAAATGAATTTAAAACAATGCCTGCAATTACTGTCAAAATGTAATAATTTTTCAATTGGTGTACAAATCTGTCCTTACCATGGTTAGAAAATTTGCTTTCTTGGACAGTGTCTGTATGAAGGGTTTATTGAAGTTCTGAGATTCTGATTTAACTGGAGAGACATGTAGTATGTTAACTTTGTCAGTATTTGACAGATATTGAGGTTCTAAAACACATTTTTGTGTTAAAGGTTTCAAAATGAATAATTTAACATGTCATCTCAAAATTCATATCTAAAATCTCTGGATGCAAGTACATAAGCTTGAGAACTTGCATGTTTGAACATATTTGTTTTTGTTTAATAAAGGAGTTAATTTTTGCAATATAAATACTTCTTTTTATTTTATGACTGTAGTCATTCAAGCACCTTTGTAGATTAGTTTATTTGAATCAACATTGTCTTCAGTTATGGTTGGTTCTTCCCGTAAGTATACATTAGCATATTGTAACTGACTAAAAAAAAGATGTATCTTTTAAATTCTTCTAAAAAAATTAATATTTTCCAATAATTTTGTAAAGCGTGTTTTGCAGCCACTTAGGACAGATTTATTCTTTATTTGATGTACTGTTACTTTTAATATGTTGAGAAGCTAATATACACTCTGTTAAATTTTCCATATTTTATGTAATTCTTTGGAAACAGTTCATCGTTGGTTTTAGTACATAGGAAGGTGTTACTCAGCGCTGTATTAACTACAGATGTTGAATGAAACAGGGATGTATATGCATGTGGAATTGGGAGATATGTCAAAGTAAAATTACAAAAACTTTGGATAATTGTCAGTAAATTTCTGAAGGAAGTTTAGGTGTATATACTTTTTCATTTGCTATATTTCAGCACCAGAATCTCCACTTTGTTTCATTATTGTAACAGATCCTATGTAACCCTTAAAATTAAGGTGTTATGTTCCTCTGAAATATTGGTAACCACTTGCAAGACTACAGCATCACAACCCAGAAAACAACAATCAACAGAGTTCTACTGGATTTATCATAAAATGGTGATTAAGTGGTGTTTTAATTTTAAAGCTGTTTAGTGGTTTTTCTCATATACCAAATGTGTAACAATTGTCCACAGGTATATAGTTTAGTTGGAGGTCAGTGTTCAATTCTTGTTGTATTTTGATTGTTGACCAACAAAATCAATTACAAACTCATCTTTATTTGTGCATAAACAATTGTAGATTAAATGCACACTATGTACATAGGAACATGTTAAAAATGTTTGTCCAGTAATCATATCGTCACCATTTGTACATTGGACTTGTAAAAATAACATATTTCTTTACTTCTGTAACAATGACCTACAAAGATTATTCTGTCATTTATGTCAGTAATTATGAATATTTCACTTTCAGAAAGAAGACTTTATAAGGCATTGTTATTATCAACAAAGTGTAATATCGAAATAGATTTGTTGTCATTTTATTGTCATCACCTTTACTGTCACAACCATGTGCTTGAATATACTCTTCCTTTGACATTTCTATGTTGGCTTCAGAATGGCAGCTTGCTATAAAAACAGATGCTGTTCAAATAAAACATATCTTTACAATTTTTAGTTATATATTCAGAAATATAAATTTTGAGTAAAACTCCTATTTTACAGATCCTATTTCCTGGTCTCAATAAGATGCATGCTTTGAGAGCTATAAAGAATTCTCATGAAACAAATTTAAAAGATGTTTCCCCCCCAGATTTTGCTATTTAAGATTTGCAGAGTATTGATCTTTATTGATAATTTTGTATCAGTTAAAGTTTAGTATGTAATTCTTGTTTCGAGAAGAATAATGCATTATTATTTTGTTTACCAGCTGTATGTCCAATATTGAATTGAATTTCATAAAAGATTTGATGCAGAGGCTTCAGATTATAATTATAGGCAGTTAACAGTGGTTTAAATTTTCAACATACATTCCAATGAAAAATTTGATTATGTGCAGATATGATATGACTTTAAATTTAAGACAGAACCATAATTTTGCATTTTTAGTAATTTGCTTTTCTTGCTGTCCTTACTGACACTCATATATTGGCCCAAGTGTGAAGAACAAACTTAACCATTACTCCACTTTATTTAACCAAATTAAGTATTGGTAGTATGTTAATGATGAGGTTCTCGAAAGTGTTCCATTTATCTTTTGGCATCCCAGTATAAAGATTTCCGTCTTCTGGGTTGTTGTTTCTGAAACGTTGGTTAACATCGACCAGACTACACAGCGCAACAACCCAGAAGACGGAAATCTTCATACTCACCACTGTGAAAACCTCAAATCTTACATCCCAGTATAGTTTGGTAACTGTTGTTTGACTGCTGTTGCATTTCACAGGTGGGGAGGGCACTCTGTAAGGTGTGCCATGTTGATTAGGGCATTTGCTTCTGTATGCTCCCTTGTGAAGGTGGTCTGCAAGACAGTCATATCCAGTACACACCATTCAGCATGGTGTGCATTGGTGGTTAGCAGGATTCACGACCCATCAGTACATGGGTTCGACCAGGACGACGACATTTAACGCTCCTGCTGTGACCCCCATTTCGTGAAATGATGAAAGTGGAGTAATTGGGATGCCACGGAGAAACCCCGGAGGAAAACTCTGTGATGCCTGGACCACGGCCTTGCCATCATATCCAGTTATGAGGCAAAACAAGGCTATAGCTTTTATTGTGGTTTCAGAGATTATGCTTCTCTTGCTGAATACTATGTTCTGGTTTCTGCTTTGAGGTTTGGTTGATTGATCTTTAGATTGTTTGACAGAAATTTCATTTCATTATTTATGTTGCACAGTAAGTGAAATGACATTACTTGTTTTGCACAATTATTCCACAGATCCTACAATGGGTCTGACCCAACTTACATGATAGATAATACTACTTACTGAAGTCTAAATGTTCATTAAACATATTTGAATCATCTGTCTTGCTTTTATTTTTGTAATATAGTCTTTTGATTAATACCTCTTTTTGAGTTGGTAAATTTTAGGTTTGAGTGGTATGGACTGGATACAGCTGGCTGAGGATAGGGACCAGTGGCAAGCTCTCGATAACATGGTAATGAATCTCTGGTTTCCTTAAAATGTTGGGAATTTCTTGAGTGGCTGAGGGACTGTTGGCTTCACAGGACGGACTCAGCTTCATGGAATAATTAAAGAAGGCATATTTTAGGTGCTTTCAACATAGCAGCTCGATTGTGGCTTGGGAAATTAATATTTTTTGTGGTTTACTCTGTTATGAATTTTTATTCGTCAAAATGTTTTGTGCATTATTAAAGTCTGTTAAGCACACCATTTTATTTTATGTTAAAGTGGGCAAGAACAAACAAAAACTATGAAAAATATTTTTATAAATGTTGGATTATTCTACCAGACTACATGGTGCAACAACTCAAAAGACAGCAATCTTCATAACTTTCCCAAACCCAGACTCCCCTCTACCTACAAAACGTAAATCTTTTCTTCATAGCTATTATGCAATTTATTTTGGTTCAGTTTGTTACAATAAACGAACCAACTAGATGACTTACAGAACGTAACCGTTACCACAGAATTTATCGACTCCCTACACCGGACGCTGTCCTGGGCCAACAAATTCCAGTCACGTTATCCTTTTTCGAAGATTTCAGTTTTTACCAGTGACATCTGCTTACAATAATTACAATCATTCCGCACTATCTCGTTCGTAGTATCTGTGACCATTACGCTAACAGATGGCACCATATTTTTGACATGAAAGTCAAATAGGATCCTAACTTACGATTTTTCTTTCCCCCTACTTATTTGTTTGGATTACTTATAGCACTTAATTAATATATGTAGCTTTCCAGATTCTTATAAAGCAATATTATATACAACAAGAACTGTGTGTTTGATTACCCATATAGAGATGTTCCGGTTGTGATGCGTTTGGCTCAAAGTGTCTGAAAGACAGTGCCTTTTTTAATGGGCGTATTGTCATTTGTCTTTTAATATTGTAAATAAATTTGCCCATTCGCCATCGAATGTATTTTTAAGCTTCAAGACTGAAACATATCGATATATTGTCTTAAAAATTATTTTATGGCTTCTCAAACATACATTCATTCTAAGAATTTAGTGAAATTTCAAAACTTGTGACAGAAGAGAGTCGATCGAAAGTTTACACATCACTTGAGAGGAGGCAAATAGTCATTTTAAAATGAGGTAAGTGAAGTAGCAAAAATACAAATGTGAATCACACTAATGGTTATAATTTCAGTGATGTGCATTAATATATTATCGTTTCTAGCTTGCCAAGGGCCCAGATGCAATCCCTGAATGGAAAACGACAAAATTCCCAAAGAATGCAGCAAGAAACATCGCCAACACAACATGATGACTTAATAAGATACATATGTGAATGTAAGTTATCTCTTGTGGTAGATATCTCGAGTTTACACTTTGCATATTTCATCCAGTTTTTACAGTATTGCCATTGTACCTTTTATAAATTTGTTTATTTTTATTTGTAAACAAACAATAGCTGTATGTAACAGTAGTCATATGTAGTGTTATATACTGTTATAGGTTGTTTCATTATTAAGGATGGGTAAACAGGTCTGTTCGATACAAGTGACCACAGCTTTAAAATAGCATTGATGTGGGAAGTGTAAAGTACAAAGCAAAAACCATTTATTTTCCATGGAGAATTACATTTATGAAGACAAGAAACTTTTATCTTTTGCCATTTTCATACATTTAACAACCACTCAGCTTTAAATAAATCCAGACTTATGATGCACTGAAAACAAGGCTTTTTTATTGACTTCAGAAAAGTAATTAGCTAGATTGCTGGTGATCAGACAGTTGATATGTGGGTAGACACATAGAGATAAATGGAGACATTCCATGAACTTTGATATTCAGATTGTGGAACAAAGCATTGTACAATACAACACATTTAGGAATTACTTGAAATGCAGTGAGCCTAATATGTCATAAGAAGTTACAATATGATAGATCTATTTTTGACATTTGAAATTTAGTACTCTGTTGGTTTCACTTTATAATGTAGGACATGACCCACCTGGTCATATGTCCTTATGTAAATATGTTTGTGTTTGTTATAACACTTTTACATCTTTACTTTCTTTTAAATTATACAACTATATCCCATTTTTGCTACCACTTAGTTTATAATTTATTTGTAATATTTCATCAGTTACATTTTCCATTTCTCAATTTACATGCTTAAGATAAATCTGTATTAGAATATTTAATTGTCCTTGTATGTATATATACATGTATTTACACAATGCCTGAAAAGTGTTGCATAACTGATGATAATTAATGTTTCATGTGTCATATCTTTAATTAGTAGTAATTGTTTGGTGCTATTGGTGAAGTTGATAGTTATTATGATATTTTAGTTGGACATATATTTAAAATTATACCAGTATAAAAATTAAGAAACTAATATTCTAAAATTGACTATATTTTGGAGACTGACTGTGTCAGCTTGTTCAACAATGCTTTAAATCGTCTGTTCGTGTAAACCCAATTATTTTGATGGGGAGATTGCTGTATATTTTTGACCTTGCATAGTGGACTCTCCTGTTCGGTGAGCTGTAAAGATACCAATTGATCTGTTAGTAGCAAGTTTGTGTTTTGTATTGACTTTTGAACTTCTGAGTTTTAAACATCTTTTTGTGATCATTTATATGCTAAAAGAGCCAATAAGTAAGTTCTCATGAATACAGATAAGACATGGACTTTTGTAAAAAATTCTGCATAACTCATTTGAGCACCTGCCATGATTCCAAATATTTTCTTTTGGAAGAAGAATTCTGTATTAGCATCAGAAGAGATACCATTTGTTGGAATAATTTTGTTTGATATTCAGTTTTTTCCTAGGATGTTAAATACATTTGGTTCTTGTCTGATTGCTTGATTTCTGACGTAAGTTTTTTATTAACCTCAGTTTGGCTCTTTTGTTGTTTAGCTAGTATCCAGCATGTGATTGATACAGCAATGTGGGAACAGCCAGTAACTAGCATCCCTTTTAATTGTGATTCATATTTTGAAAATTATTAGTTTTGTATTTAAAATAGTTTTGTATTAAAATTATTAAGATTTATATAATATCTTTGGTTTGTTATTCAATTCAAGTTTGGCTCTTATTGGTGATTTACCTTTGAATGCTGTATTCAGTATTTAATGTTACCATTATTTTTCTTGACACTATGTAGTCTGAACTACTACATTATCATTAAATAGACCACAAATAAATATATAAATAAATAATATAATTTTTATGTTTGTAGCATGGAACACAGTATCAAGGGAACTGGAGAACTTTAGTCAAAATGGTGCTGACACTAACAAAGGTAAAAATGTTTTTCATATTAGTATCAGTAGATGTCATTCTCAGGGAGGTGTGTTAATTTTATTTTACTTTATATGTAATGTTTAAAATGTGCTGTGGTGCTGCTTCTGTAAGCTGAAACGTATGGAAATGTTAGCTGTGACAAACTTGTTGCTTCTCAGATATCCCAGTTAATGGTGGGTTACTTAATTGGATAATCATTGCTGAATCTAATTTGTTGTGTTGTTTATTTTTAAGACCTTAATGTATTTGTATGAATAATGTTTTTCAATCTGCTTTTCAGTGCACTGAAAATATAAAATAAAACAGAAAGGTGAACATAACTGAAACAAGACAAACACAAGAATTAGAACTAAGAATAATCTTCCCTAGGAAGTTTTATATAAATCTGATTACATATCACTAGAATACAGAAAGTCCCAAAAAGGTATATACACAATGTACATATGTGATGGTTGTGTGTATACATCTTTTTGTGACACCTGTATAACCAGAATTGTTGTCCTTATAAGAAACTTGGTCTAATTGTTGGAATCTTCAGTTATGGCCATGTATCCAATTAAAAGTATCATGCTTTAGAAACATGGAGGCTGTTATATGGCAGGTCAGATAAGGTTATGGTTTCATCATATCATGTATAGATTGATTACAGCCAGCACTACAGAAATCTCATTTCTGTTTGGTAGAACAACCTGATTTCTGTATAAAATGGGTAAGAAAATCACTTACCAGTGGTTTAGTACATTCTGTGGTTCAAAAAAAGATTAGATGCAGGTTTCTTAGCATTCCTTCTGTACATGTTATAAAAAATATTAGAAGTTACAGTGATTCATAAGCTATCATCCTTACATTAAAATAGTCTGTGTGTTGTTCTGTATTTTATATTTTCTGAAAGAACGCCTTGATGACTTCAGAAATCTGAACATACCAAAACCTAAGACTCTTCATTATTTGGAGCTAAAATGTTTTTGCACATACTTTGGCCTGGAAGAATGTGAAGGTGTTGGGGGAGGGGGGGAAAAGTAAGCAAGGAAACAGAACATCCAGTGGTGCCAAATGTAGCATTGTGGAACAATGGTTTTCATTGAATGCAGATTGTTTTGTTAAATCAGTTCCACACCTACCTTTCCCATCACAAAACAAGGTACAACACTGTGCAAAGAGCAGATATGAACTTGCAACAGTGCAGTTTTGCTGCTGATGCTTCTGCCGCATGGCTTGTGAACAGACTGTGCCTGCTGCTTATCAGCTGACCTCCTTTATGCTGATTGCATAATTTGACTCATCCACTAATTATAATGAACAAACACTAGTGTTACTCCCTCCTCATAAGTTTGCTTGATGACAATGTTGTAATCTGTTAATTGCAGAAGGAGTACCAAGAAGGAAGGTATCCAGTGGAATGAAATTTATATTGAGTTTTATGAAAATCAGTGTTTTTTTCCTCAAGATATGGTGGACAGATACATGTAGCATATGTATTATGTGATTTTTTACAGGAGGTCCAAGTGTTTTGTACTATGTGGAACAGGAACCAAATCCACAGCTGAAAGGTAAACAGTAAGATCTTTATCAGTACTCATGAGACCGAAAGTTTCTAACACTGCTGGTATGTCAAAATTATTTTGTGAAGAATTTCTTAACATAATCGGAACACTGTCAGAAATCTCCAGTCTTCGATGAGTTTCTGTTTAATTAGTGACTGAGAGTTTCATGATATCATTTAGGCGTGTTGATACAGTTTAGATAAGTGCAAGGCATCCGAGCCCAAGAAGCCAGAGTCTGCTTTATGTATTACAGCAGTAAGAAGACGTGAACTGTACCTATCATTGAAGATGACAAAGTGTAAGGGGGATTTTTCATGTTTTGGTCTTCTGAATTCATAGTTTTCACATAAGCTTCTTGCACTGATATTGTGATTTGCCCAAAAGTGGTTAAATAAATTACTAATGCATAAGGAGAATTATGGCGGAAGAGGATTAAGTTATGAAACCCGCCTTCATAAATCGTGAACTTGTCATAAATTTGTACTATAAAATGGTAAATGTGAAAAGGTTTCCTTGTATAAGTAAACTGCAGATGTTTTATTTTTTTCAGTCTGTTGTACATGGAATAACTGCCAGGAGTAAGAAATGATTAGCAAGTTATAGTTGTCTTTTTAAAACACATTTTAAAAAATATTGTATTAGTTTTGTCATGTTTGTGTGTTCAGTTGCCAGAATTACCTAACCATTTTATTTAACTGATATGGTTAAATTTTGTTCAATATAAGGGCTACTTTACTTAATGTCATGAAAGAACTATTACATTTTTTAGTCATTTGGCTTGAAGAAAGGGCACGTCTATTATGTGAGCATTACCACGTGTAAGTTTAATTAATTTTAATATTAAAGGGCCTAAGTTATCTTTTATGTGCATATTCTTAGTTCTTTGGAACGTCTTAAATAAACATAGTGATGCATAAAGTATAAGACACAACTTGGACAATATATTAATAAGAAACAATGGTTTAGAGAATATCTATAGTCTAATATCAGTACGTATGTAGCATGCATCATTGGAAGCATTGTCCAGGCTCTTGCTTTTGCCCCGCCATCTAGTCTGAGTGTACCTAATTCACAATGCTTTGTATATATGCAGTATGTGCTCTGTAGTGATTGCCTTTTCATCATTTGTTTTTAATCTTCAGCTAAAGAATATCGCGGCCAGTGAATATACAAAATTGTGAATAACACATTTTTCTTTAAATATATTTACTTGGTTGGAGTAGAACATTGTGAGTCAACCATTGTTGGGAACTGTATGAAATGCAAACATGCTGTATATGGTAGCTATGTTACTGTCTATTGTAATTGTGTTGTTTTGATTGTTAGGAGCATTTTTCATTTCAGATTTTGAACCATTTGATCTTGAAGCATGGTGGGGGAAGAGAGTGGTGCAAAATATTACCCGTACCCAGTCATCGTAGTGGGTAGGACACATTCGTCTCTTGCATCCTGTTGCCAGAAATGTGTCCGTTCATAACGAGGACATGGACATCTGCCAAGTATTACTCTGTATGGACTTTGCTGCATTTCAGTAAAACATGCAAAAATTTGCATATGATTTTGACAATGAAAAGTGATATCAAGTGGGAAGAACTATGAATTAATTTTTTTAGGTGCAGTAGGATTTATTGGCTATCAAAGCATTATTACAATCATTGTCTCACAGAGAAATAATTTTGGGGCAATATAGTAAAGTAGGACAATTTCTTAAATTAGTGATTGCATCTGAAGTGAAAATTCAGATGAAAGATGAAATAATAAGTTAAATTTTGACATCATTCATTTGTTTGGAATGGAGTTCCCATTGTTACCTCACAGTTTTATAAAAAATTTAAAGGTATTTTATTCCTTAAATGAAAACAATTGTCATATTCAGTCTAACCTTGTCAGTATTCTCTTTAGCATAGTTATCATGTGTGTTGGAAAGCAGAAGGATTGAGGAATATTTAACTTTTGGAACACATGACACATTCCTTCCATTCTTTTATTACTTTATCACATCAGTCAGGATTAACTCATGTCAGCTGACATTTGACATTTTACTCTGGTACAGTATTTTGTTATTTGAGTTTTAATGTAAGGTGACATTTGTTTACCTGGATATAGATTATCTCGATTGTAAGTATTCTTTAACTTTTATATTCTGCAAAATGATAAATAAAACAACATTCACAAACAGACGGAGTTCACAAGTATGTTTTATACTCTTTAACGTTAATTAAGAATTATACGCATCAAATTGTAAAAGTTACGATATAATTAAAACAGTTGTAGGTAGAAAATGAATTATTGTTGCTTCTCAGTGTACATTTGCTCCTATTTGTAATTTATTATAATTTTATATTCAAAAAATGATTAATCCTATTTCTATATAAACATTGCAGTGAATTGGCGTTGTATTATAATGTGAAGAATTCAAATAAGATACTTTTAATTTACCAATTTGTGTGTTATTTTTATTCTTCTCATACTGTTGCTTGATATAACCTCCAAAGAGGAATTTTTAACCAAGAATCGTTATTTTATTAGCCTGCTTTATTAATTATGTATTTTTTTCACAGAGTTAATACACATAGCATAGGATGTGTCTAGTAGTTACAACTACTACGCTGATTTAAATTATGTTTTTAATTATGGGATGTACATTAAAAGTTACCAGGAGAATTTAATTTTTATTGGTATTGATAGGTACAACGTGGACTTAACATCGATCTAATTGACATTCAGCATTGACACATTCGCTACCTTGCTACTTAATGGGGTTTTAAATGCCATTTTCAGTGTGCGGATGTTTTTAACATGAATAGAAGAAACCTAAATATCTTAGAAACTATTTTAACATCTTTCGCTGTGCATTATTTTTTTCACCATTTTCCTGAAATAATGATCTTTAAGGTAATAATATGAACAGTTTTCAGTATATATATTTTCTCAGGTGTTACATAATATTTTCATACAACTTAAAATGCTTCAAACTAAGTATCAGCAGACCTACAAAAATTGCATTTTCAGTGAAAGAAGTCGAATGACACAGCAGAAGAAGGTTATGTCTTGATTGTGGACTAACGTTGAATGTCATATTATCTGGTAATGGGATGCTTGTTAAACTTTAATTAAAAATCACAGCATTAGGGTTAAATAATTGCATGTAATTTTTAAGTTGTGTGTAATACTACGTTAAGGTGTAATATCTTTTACAGCAATTCATTTCCATGTAAATTGTTTGCTTTTTCACACTTTGCATTAGCCAGCTTCATGTTTTCTTCTCTAAAGCTTCCATAGTTGGTTGTTCAGAAGAGTTTTTATTTTGTACTTTCTAATGCTTCTTGTAGTATGTGTCGTGTTTCATTTTGTCCTGTTCTTTGTTAGTCTTTCTCTTACTTTCTTACACATCCTGAGTGTTCTGATATTCAAGTAACCGAGTTTCTTTTGATATTCATTAGCATTCAGAAGGTTAATGAAATTTTGTTTCAGATTCTAGAATATATTCTCATTATCACTCAAGACAAATAGATGTTCTTTTGTTTAGTTTTCATTGAAGAAGTGTTATGCATTCTTGAAGAAAGGGTCTTTCTTTTTCAAGTTTTTTATTAGGTGCTTGAAGTTTGGTTTTGAAATCTGATAATTAAGAATGTTGCACTTCCGATTCACTCTTGTATGTGGCTTGTGCTTCTTGCAGTCTTATCTCGATATCTGCCCCTTTAGTCTGTAGATCTGCACTTTTCTCAAGTACCTGTTGAATTTCATACGTAGTCTTTTAGTCTGTAAAAAATAAACTTGCATTAGGTGTAAGTGAAAATAATTTGAATAATAAAATAAATATCACTGCACAAAGAGAGAGCAATTTGTTGTGGAATTAAGAGTAAATATAAGTGTACCAGGCCCCCAATGGAGTTGGATATTGAACTGCAGGTTTCATTTGATTGCTATTGTCTTCACCGTCACTGTTGTTTTGTTGGAAACAAAATGAAAAACCCTTCAACTTGTTCCAAAGGTCAAGGAAAGAAACTAAAAACAATGTATTAAGGATTATTTTTTATGTGATAGTTTTGTTACAAAAATTGATTAGGTTTTGTCAATTAGATTTGTATTGAAGATAGGGAATCTGAAGATGATGCTAATAGTGAAAAGTGCCACTAAAATTATGAGAGCAGCTTTCTTTCATCTGAATACATGTGTTTCTAAAAAAATCTGAATTTCAATCAATAACAGAAATTATATATATTTATTTTTATTTTGTACATGGTAAAAGGTAAAGTTTCTTCTGTTTCTGAGTGTACCAAGCCATGAATGTGTATGGGGCACTGGAGGTAAAAAGCTCTGCCTTCTTAACCTTGATATCTCGAATTATTTTGTGTTGATTTGATTTGTGGGAAGATGAATACAAATATTTACAAACTCCAAAGGAATAGACGTTTAGGTTGAATGAAGTGTACTGAACTCATTTGTTGAGACGGTGTTCTCAAATGTTTCGTTTTGTTTTATTTTCTTACGTGTTTTAGGAATGGTAGTAGACTATGACAGGTGATGAGTAGGCGGGCCTTGGAGGGGGTTGAAAGGAAGGGCCTGTCTGATAACGTGACGTGATTTTATTCACGGTGAATCATCGTTTCACTCAATCGAAAGGTGTTGCAAAGTGAGTTACGTGGAAACCGTAGAAATCAACAAGATCCACGTGCAGTGCGGCGTGTTAGCTGGAAAATAATATCGTGTTTAAGATATGTTTCACAATAAAAGTTGTCTTTGTGACTAAGCACCTCGCCGTGAAGGCGTATAGCGGAATTTCAGGTAAAACTCCACGCAACGGAAGAGGGTGGTTAGGTCCGCGCAGTGACTTCTGTACCGCCGAGTAAATAATCGTGGTCATGTAGATGGTCGAATCGGTTCTGGTTCTGTTGTCCGGCTTTCAACGCAATAAATAATATGGTGGTGCCTATGACTGGTTCGAACATGTGCTTGTAGGATTGTGATCTTCAATTGGTGTTTGTGATCGAGATACGGCCGAGCAAACTGCTTACTTGCTCAAGGTAAGAGCATATTGCATATTTTAGCATTTTTATTTTATATTTATAGACCTACAGGTCGAGGTTATCTTGCCAGAAGGCCGTATGGATAAAATGATTTACTGAAGACTAAATTCATACGTTTATTTGTGTGACTGTTCATTATTAGTGTTCATACGCCCTAATATTTCTGTATTCCTGTGTACAGGACCATCAGCATTGCGCCCTTCTGGCATGACATACATCCGACTATTTTATGTCGTTAGACCAAATATCTCCAATTATGAAAATATGTTGATACGCCCTTTTGATATGAAGCAAGAGCAAGTTAGTTTCTAGCCGGTGTGGTTTGCATGCACTGACATTGACACGCCACAAATTCCGTGTAGCAATTTCACAGTAACTTACATTGATCATCTGTGGTTCAGAATGTACAGGACTGGCAACTTCAGAAATCGCTACAGTAATAATGTTCGCACGATGGCCTGTTTGAAAACAGTAATATACACAAAAAACTTTTACATCTAGATTTCTCATAACTTACATTTTTAAAGAAAAATATTAGTAAAAAAACTTTGTTTCGAAATTGCGCAAATAACTACAAATCGCATGTTGTCAAAAGTCAAATTTAAGAGATAAAATTAATGGAATGAAAGTTTGCTCAAGGGCTGGACTCGTCCAGATTATCATAGATCGAATCTTGGTCGAGTTCCAGATTTTTAGTGCTTACAATTTTAAAAAAGGCCTATTTGAGAGATTATTGTTATTATTATGATCATTGTTAGTATTATTTATCTACATGGGAAAGAACCTGTAATTGTGTGATTACTACTCTCCTGCTTCATATTCATGAGGTCTTAGGTTCATTTCTTGGTCGGGAGATTGGCTATCCTGATTTTTTTTTGTAGTTTTCTTAAGGTCGTTCTCGGTGGACTAGTGGTTTGCTTGCTCGGCAGTGGACCCAAGGTTCGCGGGATGGACTTTTAAGGGTTATGAAAATACGTAGCACAACTTCCTTCGAAGGGGAAGTGAAGCAGGCGGTCCCATGTCGTAGATTTACGCAAAAGAACCTTACGAGCATAAACGAGATGTTTCGTATACAAAATTCAGCGGCCATTTCTCTCACCCAAGTCTCTCCTGATACACTACTAGATGGCTCTAGCAGACAAATCAGGATTGAGTAGAAACTGTGCAGTGGCAGTGGGATTGTCACTCACTACTCATAAATGCACACTTCAGAAAGACAAAGAAACCACCCACATGGGAGGAGGCCAATGCTCTGCTTTGGGCTGTTGCGCCATAGAGTCAGTCAGTTTTCTTAAGTCCCTCCGGACTGACACTGAGATGTATCATCAAAATATGCCACTGCCGCTGTAAGTCCTTCCCTTTCCATCATTCGTACATACTTTATCATAGCCAGGTTAATGATGATTCATGATCTTCAGATATCGATATAGCGTTGAAATGTAACATGATCTACACGACTCCTTTTATGTTATGGAAAACCAGTACAGCCTTCCATTTATCCATCCGTGTTTCTGTTCCTTGGATCAACATACGCATTACATTTGTATTACATTCTCCTGTTTAGTCAGTACTTCGTCTCTGCCACTCAGTAACTGCAGGTTGTAACGGGAATCTTGTTCCAGAACCGACAGCTTGTAACGCATACTAGAAATGTCTTCATTATGCTGTTGTAAGCTCGTAGTTAGCGAATGAATCCTGGAGCTGACAACCTCCCATAATTCCTGCTCTTTCTGATATACAATGTCTTCTTCATTTGCAGCATCTTCCGAATTTATGTTTAAATCTTCGGAACCAAATTTACATCAGCGTTTTACGTCTGCCATGCTGCATAACATCTGTATCTTCATTTAGTACAGTTATTACTACAGTGCAAACAAATTACAGCTTTATCACAGAACTAATTTGTAGTTTCGTCAAGGAATCCTATAATATATCTAGGAGTATTATCTCTATTATGTTTGCGTTGTTATGATAGCTGAGATCACTGTGTATCGACTTTGTCTTACTTATAAAGCACCGATCGTATATTTTCATTTACTGGAAATGAGAAAAGAATATAGGATTATACTGTTCTGATATCATGAGATAAGATGGTGGTCTTCTGGATTGTTATATTGTGCAGTTTTCTGGCTATATACCAACGTTTCGGAGACAGATACTGCCTCCATTTTCAGGGCTGAAGTGAGATATGTTAGGAAATGGATGGTTTATGTAAGGTTGGGAGAAGGATCGGTTCAGGTCGGATGAAGGGGAAGT